TTATTTGAAGTAAAGTGATTATAAGTTGTTGAATTTCGTAAAACATATTCCACAAATATAAATGATACGTACTTTCTTAGTTAAATAAATCTCTGCAATATAATAAACGGTGTATGCTGCCCAAGTGGTTATTAGGGAGTGAATATTTTGTGAACAAGGTGAGTAGAACTCCCACCTAATTTCTATAATCATGGTATGAACCTTTGTCAGCATCGAAGTAAATTCCACTATGGTACTTTCAATCCGTAGGAGACTTGTGCAACTCCTTACACTGGTGGTTGGCATTACTGATTGGGTCTTTAGACCGTAGACTGAACTAATAAGGTTATAAGCTGTTCACGAAATGAACAACTGATAAAAAATATACATAAATCATCTGTGTTAGATAAAGATAATTTTGTTCATTGGCAACTCTCAGTCGATTTATCCAACGAGTTTGTTAATAGATTCATTAATTTCATGAATCCTATTACGTGATTGTTAAGTCATGGCAATGCTTAAAGACGGTATCCAGAAACTAGTATGAATAACTAGTTCAAATTACATCTGCGTCGACAGATTTCGAAAAGTCAAAAATTTAAATGGTTCATTAAACATTGACAAATCAAAGTCGCCTGTTCTTATTACGAATCATGGTACGAAAACATCTACTAACTTGCTTTAAAAGCAAACTGCTGAAATTCTGTCTGTCACTACATGGTAATGAAATTACCAACGAAACTCATGAAAAGACCGTAAGTAATCACCTCGAGTAGTGTTCTAAACAGTAAGATAATGTCTGTGTTAACATATTTTATTGCACAATGTGCTGAAGACGGTATATCACCATTATTATGGTGAGATATCCATGGATCCTTGGCTTTGTGGCTGAAGTTCCAATTCATCCTAACTGATTTGATTGTACTCTTAACTCCCATACGGAATGCTTTTTAACCCAATAACACAACAGTTTCAGATGTCGTTTATGAAGATTATTTTGAATGAGAAATTGATCATGGTTTTTCCACTTCAAAATCTCTTTTCTGCCTAATAAGTTATTCTGTATTCAAGATGCTATAAAACGTATATGTCAGGTTCGTAAATTATTGCTATTATTAATCACAAACATCTTATGGGTAAAAAGTGTTGTGAAGAAACTACTTCGGGTTTCTTCAAAAATGCAATAATACACCAGTTTCAATAACGATAGCATTATATTTGCCATATTTGAAATAGAGAATAACAATAAGTCGGATTCTGTGCAATTGAGAAGAATGTTGAATTGAGTTTAAAGAAGGAAAGGAAGAAAATAAGGGAATAGGAATAAAGGAGACGTGAAATACGCAAATAGTTTAATAAGCGTGTTCATGAACACAGCACAAGAATAAATGACCATGCGTGTATCGTCAAAGTAGTAAAAAAATGAAATAGAAAACAATTATGAATTATTAATTTATTATTGCAGTAAGATATGATACTAGAATAGGTTTTTGTGCAGTTATAGTTTGCAGTGATGCAATGGAAATCCCATATAAGTGAAAGGATAACCAAATATCAGTATGTATGAGTCATATATGTATAGTGAAGCTAAAACGAGTCTGAGAAGTTAATTTAAATGCAACACAAGTTGTTGTCCTAATTACAAACTAAGTAATCTTGAGAATAATAATTATTAAGATGGGAAAAGGAGAGAGAAAAGAAATGAACATTTAATGAAAGGGTGAAGCCATAATAATAATTGTGTAGTGAACTTTGACCTATAAAGAAAACCAACAATTAAAAAAAACAAAAAAACAAACGAAATTCTTTACTTAACTCGGATAAATATATAAAAATTAAATTATATGGCAGAACGTTGTCATGAACTTTGTCAAAAGCTTCGCTGAAGTCAAGGTAGGCTACGTCTACAGGTGAATTTTGGTCTTTAAGAGCTCACCAGCTTTCAAGAGTCAATATTAGGTTAGTGAGACGCGAGTAACCTGTTCTCAATCCATACTGTTTTTCAGAGAGAATCCGGTTTTCATCAAAATAATCAAACAGCTCCTTATGAATAATCTTTTCTAAAATTTCAATAACCACAAAGGCTAAGCTAACAGATCGGTAGTTCTCAGGCTTATGTTTCGTGTGTGTTTTGATGACAGGACCTACTATGGCGTTTCTCTGGTCTTTTGGTAAACGAACATGGGTCACCGATGGATTAAAACATATACTTGAGAGATTCACGTCGAAATTTCCCAGTATCATTAATGACAAATGGTGAATTTCATCGAGTCCCATAGATTTGCCTATATTAAGCTTATTTAGTGAACCAAAGAAATCGAGTTCTTTAATGGTCACAGTGTCTAGTGTGTGCGTGTTTGTGTGGATGCCTTGTACGAACTGACGGGAAGTGTTTCTCTACGGCATATGCATTGCTAAAGTAAGTTGAGAATACCTGAGCTTTACCATAGTCGTTATCCACTAATGATGAGGCATTACTGTCTCCCCTTAGTGCTGGAATATTTTTTCTTCATTTAGTCCCTTGGCTTACATACGAATACAAGCGTTTGGGCCATTCTATAGATTCCTTAACAGTTTCTCCTTCGTACAACCTTCTAAACTTACGGAGGGTTGAGGTATAAGTATTCCGAGTTTCTCGATATTGAAATTTTGTCTCATCAATCCCCAGTGACCTAAGTCTCTCTCACCTCCTTCTCCTCTCACGAAGAAGGGCGTGAACCTTCCTACTGAACCATGGAAGGGAGTTTCTCGAATCTCTTGGTGTAGTCCAAGGGATGGGGGGTGCAGTGACTTTTAAGTACAAATTTTGAAATGCAACTCAGACTGTTTCAATCGGGAACTCTAGATCTATTGTTTAATCTACTGATGATGCCATACAATATCCTGTATGTTTGTTATCCAGACGATTGATATGGTCCGGGTTGACACATTCTGGTTATTGAAAACTATATGGAAGTCGAAGCTTAGAACTACATGATCACTTTTACCTAAGGGTAGCATGTAATCGAGGTTTGTAATGTCATCCCCATAATAGGTTAATGTAAAATCTAGTGAAGATGATTCAGCATCCGCGTCATACCTAGTCGCTCCTTCCACATGTTGCTCTGGGGCACATGTGATAACCGCATCAACTAGTTCCTTTTCGAAGGAATTCAATCCTCAGATTTTTCCGGTGGGTGTATTAAAGTCTCCTAGGATTAGACATCGACCACTTTGTGACCATATATTGATACCGTCTAGTAATACCTCACTTACCTCACAGCTCGAACTACATTAAAACAAACCAATTTGCACCTCTTGTTCCTTGCATTTCAAGTGGCAACCAACTAACTCGCACGTCTCACTCATGGAACACACTGTTGACAATGGCAAATGGGGTAGTATTCTTAATGTATAGAGCCATTCCTCTGAAGACGCCACAAGTATTCGGAGTTTTGACAATGCCCACCAAGTGAAACCAAAAGACAGAAGCGAGGAGGTTCGATGATATATTTGATAGGCTATCAATATATCGTGGATCGACTGATCTAATCTGGTTAGCGATTGCACGGGTTGTTGAGCACGTCGTTCTCACTCGTGATCTGGTGCGGATGCGTAACCGAGCGCCTTCAGCTAGGTGAGTCCATTAAAACTAGTGTGGTCAGCATCCAATGTCGAAGACTTACGGAACTATTTATTTTGGGGATTTATTTACCGCTACACCTCCTTTACGCTTCTGGATCCTGTCGGCTCTCACTGACGTGAAACCTTCAAAATCAAATTCCATACTGTATATAGACTGAATCAACCGAGTTTCTGTGACTGCGATTACATTCGGTTTGGCAGAGTCTAGCTATACACCCAGCTCCGATCACTTGTTGTGCAAGCTTCGGGCATCTGTATAACAGATCTGAAGTTCATTTAAATGGCTTCGGCATCATTCCCTGTCGAGGCCTCGCCACCCGAAAATTTACAATTTTTAGGTTCTTTTCGCCAACATCAAGCTCAAGTTTCGGTTCTTTTTCAGTTTAAAGGCGTTATTCTGCTTTCGGCTCATAATGTATCATTCTAAACTCTTGATGCCACCAACGGTGAGAATTGTCACATCGACTTGGAGAGCATTCCAGTCAGGATTGACCCATAATGGGAAAAGCCATTGTGTCGCCCAAACATCCACTGTGCCAATTACCGACGGTTAACTCAAGAAGTACTCTGATAGGGTTGGGGGTAGACTGGAGTGTTTATTGTACTATATGACGTTACTAGGTCATCTCTTATTCGTCTACAACTTAGCAAGGGTGACCTGTGATGAAAATATGATTTTTAGAAGTTCGACTTGTCAGTCCTAGAATCCACTTTGTTCCCTACCTTATTTTCGGGGAGGAGATGCAGCGGTGTTATGGAATTCGAGTTATGGGTGGTGCAATTCTTGACAAGTGTTGAAAGGAACTCAGGAGCTAGCATGTCTAGCTGTCTGAGAACGAGGTGAGGAATAGCTTTGGCCTCAGTTACATCTCACGGATTATTGCTGATGTCATCGAATTTCATTAGTACGACACATAAGTGGCGCTCCAAATCGATTCTAGTGGGGTTCAAGCAATAGAGGAAACAGTTGTCCCGATCTTCTTTGGTAGTTCAAAATGACATCGTTTTGAACTCTTTGAAGTTAAGCCTCAAAACGTTGTTCACGTTCACTCCTCAAACGACACAAAATCTCTTCTAAGTTCTAGTAAATCACCACCATTTTGATAGCAAACCATAACTTGGTTTCATCCACATGAATGGCGACCGATGAGATGAGGCTTTCTGCGAAGTCACGATAAATATGAGAGACAACAGCGGTCCCATATGGCTTCTTGTGATACTCCAGTTATGGACTATGGGCTTGAATATTATTTGTTAAGTTTGGTTTAAGGTAAGCAAGAGTAATCTGAAGAAAATCAGGATTGCATCAAAGATGTTGAATGAAACCTCAAAATTTTGACTTGTATTTACTAGATTCAAAAGAAAATGCCAAGACCCATTTGAAAACCGCGCTTCAGCCAGTATCCTACGTGGAGTGCTTCATTTTAAAGTATATAACTAATTCATTTAAGCCGAGGGAATTAATCAGTCAATCTTTGATAAGTTATTATTTAAGATTGTCTGTTTGAATTTTTCTTTCACTGTGTTGAATGTTATAGCTTTGAGTCAGTGTGCCGTGGCTATCTCTTTGATTTCCACTCTCGGGTCGTTTCTTTCTCAACGCAATGAAAGTTACCTTCAAAACACTAATGCAGCAGACATTTGTTCTTGACTTTCAAGAAGATGATCTGGTAATTCACAGGTTGGTGTGATATTGTACGTAGGTTGGCGACGTTAAAAAGAAGATCGAAGCTAAATGGGGCAGTGAATTCGATGCAAAGACTCAGAAACTAATACACTCAGGTAAATTACCGATTATAGCTTGTTACATTACTTAGGCAAGGTGATGGAAGATAGTAAATCGCTAAAAGATTACAAAGTGACAGAATCTGGTTTCGTTGTAGTAATGTCTGTTTCAAAGCCATCCAAAGATACAACGAAAGAAGCTAGTGCTTCAGTTCAAATTAATCCTACTGGTGAAACAAAGCCAACAACAGACAAAAAGAGCCCCGTAACAGAAGCAAATGAAGCGCCTAGCAGTAAACCAGACTCAAATCCCCAATCTAACTTACCTACAGTTACAACAGCCCCATCTAGCGCAACAAGTACTTTGGGTTTTGGAGAGAGTTCCTTAGTTACTGGAGAGAACTTTGAGCGGGTTGTAAAAGAACTAGTGTCCATGGGTTTCGAGAGATCACTGGTCAATCTCTTAATAATAATAATAATAATAATAATAATATATTTCTGCATGTGCAGGTACACACCGTTTTTACAGGTATGATCTATAAATTACAACATTTGTTGGTTCACAAAATGTTTCCCAACTTATTAAGTTTATAGTTGTTATAAAGTGAAATCGTAGAGCGCTTGCTGTAAATTATGACCTTGAGAGGACGCGTACATCAAGTTTGTTCCAAACGTCAGAAGTTTCATAGCCGTGCTCTCAGAGCAAGATTCTGAAGAAAAAAAGAGAAACAGAAGAGCAGCAAGGCACTTGGATATGAACGCAAAACGTTGCTTAACATAGTGTAGTAGAACGGACAGAGGTATAATAAATTAGAATAAATTCATATTATGTCTTGTTAGTAAAATGAAGTCAGAGGCTCCATATTATAGAATGTACTAATAAAGAACAATGAGTTGTAAAATAATAATGGCAAATTTAGGTTATCCAAGCAATGCGAGCAGGCTTCAACAACCCAGATAGAGCATTTGAATACCTTTCATCGGGAAACATACGGAATGTTGAATTTTTTTAATGAAAACTTTACTGACGGCTATTTCGAGCACGACATCAAAATACAGGACAAGGCGACATTCTTCAATAGTTATTTTTAGATAATCTGTTAGATATGTTTTTTTCATTGTTGATTGATCTCCGCATCAGTTTTTACATCATACTCTTCACAAATCTATGAGGTCTGAATTCGAAAAAATAGTGCTCTATCAAGTTTCTGTTATAAAAATTACCTAATAGTAATGAGGAAGTTCATTTGTTAAGAGAACTTTCCGAAAAGGATGCAAAGACTAGATTTCAGCACAGTCATAGCCACATTAATTCCTTGATAAGCAAGCTATTCCCAGAGACATTTTCGAAAGTTCTCATCTGTAAGCTTTATAGAATAGGACAGAACTTAGATTCTGAAAGCACTCAGAAAATCCTCCTCCTAAAGGTTATCTTTGTTTTGATTAAAGAAAGAAACCTGATATAGAATCCGGAATATACGTTCGTACGGATCCCACCCTGTTTGTACGTAGTAAGTGACGATCGAGAGAAGTAGAAATAAATGAGCACCTTCAAAACGGTGAAGAAACCTCTAACTTAATGATCTTCAAGTAGTAAACGTTCGGAGCAAAGCGGTTCTCAAACAGCTCTGAGTAGTAAAGGGAAAATTCCCACACAATAAAAAAGTGTGCTACACAAATGCTCGTAGCTTACAAAATAAAATGACTCGGCTCAAAACAGTGGTGGATATAGAAAACCCGGATGTGATTGCTGTCTGAGAAACATGCTTAACGTCAGAAGAGTTTGATAGTGAAACTCGATTGACCGGTTTTTTATCCAGTTGGGCTGATAGACTAAACCTTAGGGGTGGGGAAGTCATCATGTACACAAAAATTACCTTGCCTATACGAGGTGTTGAAACAGTAACACATGAATCAGGGACATGTGAACTGGTTCGATGCAGGCTGAAATGTAGACGGCAAGATATTGAGTTGGTTGTAGTGTATATCAGTCGAGAATGTGTAGTGGATGTCTTCCCTATAAGAAAACATAAGTCCTGGTTCAATATGCGTAAGAACCCTGTGGTAGGCGATTTAAGTGCACTGAATATAAACCGGGTATACTTGGAAGTAGGGTCATCGACAGCGTCATTTGATTGCAAACTGTTAGAAAGTACAGTTGCATTAGATTTATTACAACACATTGAAGATCGCACCAGATATCACTTACGAATCTCCTTTTCTACTGTACCTCGTCTTCACACAAGGTGATGATGCTGGTCAAATGAATTTCCTCCCACCTCTAGTTAAGAGTGATCATGCAGTTATCTTATTCAGGCTCATGACTGAGATGGACTGTCAAACAGATGCGCCTGCTCGTCCTAACATATGGAAGGCAAACATGGAGGTGATCAACTCTGTAGCATCGTCAGCATTGTACCTAATCTTTATCACCATCATCACAATTGCAACTACTCTATATCTTGCTTATTATGTTATGGTCATTTCGGTCATCACACATTTGTAACAAAATTTACTTAGATTATTATTATCTCACTGACTGTATGGTCGACGTCTCATTATACTAAGTTTTGTGCGTCTATGCTAGAACGTTTGGATTATCGGTTTTCCTTAATCCCAAATGTTTTAATTTCATAGGTGCCTACACACATAAAACCATTTTATCAGTAAAGCGTCTGTGCATGTAGAATTCCGCTTACTTGTATGAAGTTATTGAGATTTTTTTCGCTATTTCTTTTTGTCTTTGCTGATGCCCATTTAGTCGTTGTTGCGTGTGCTTCGTTTCACTGCGTTCTACCATCTACAATAAGACACATTTTGTTTTAGATCTCGAATGATCCGCACGAAGCTTATAACAACTGTTCTTCATATTCCTATTATATTTTATTGAAAGCTTTACATCTCTTTCGCAAGTGTTGTATCAATGACGTTTCGACTACAGTTTTTTTTGCTACGTTCCTTTTGAATTTTGAAGATTCTAACGTTACGTCAACGTTATTTTACTCTAAATTCTCGTTTCGGCGGCTGCTATGTCTATTCGTTCCTCTAGAACTGACTGAAATTGTGCATTCTATGATTGTAAACAGAAGCACAATCACCAAACTGGAAACAGTCATTGAAATTATTTGTACTGTTGTTATGGTATTTTTGTTGTGACTTTAATTCGCCAATCGAAATACGACGGGTTTGATCAGCCTAGCGTCCTTATTGATCCTTTTTCGCCTAGCCCGTCTGAGTTCAGAACACCAATACTAGCTTCCGCTATGCGAATCGTTTGTTTCAGACATACTTGGTTTATATACCAGCCAAAGAGACCACATGAAATCATAAAATAGGAAATAACATTCATACAAAATAAAGCCAAAAGTGACTGTGAACGTGTGGGAGTGTAATCAAATAAGTGATTATAATTTAGAAACAGTAAACTGTGCAGTAATAATCTATGGGTCAAAATCAAGCTTATTATAAGAAAAATGTAGATTTACATAATTTAGTTACTAACTAGTTATACAATAAGAATATATATATATTATCAGTCTATTATTAATTCTTGGAAGTTACTCGTAATTTAATCTTCGCTAGGATATTACAATTTTTATGGAGTCAAATACTATATTTTGAACAGTCTGTACGTGATAAGTTTCGGACTGAGAAAATGTGAATAATCTTTTAATGGAAATTTTTGTTGATACTGGTAATTACCTCATGTCCTCAAACTTCTTATCTATCAAGTGCGATTTAGATTTAATTATTTGAGTTTGCTGAACGACTTTTAGTTGTATAACCTGATGGTCATATTTGTTTAGGCAATAATGTACAGTAAGATTTATATATCTATATAGAACCGTTCTTTTCTCAACCAGTTTGTTTGAAAATTTGACATACCAATGTTGTCTGAAATTGCCATCCCTGTTGTTATTGGTTCATAACCAAAGCCGCCTGAAATCATCAATCAGAATATTTCTTAGGTAATCATAGTTTTCAAGTTCCTGAGATTTGATGCAGTTTTTGGCATTATTTTTCCAACAAAATGTGATTTTCGACACAAATATTTGAACTTTTGTGATTTTTGCGTAAAAACGTAAACATTTATGGGTTTTTAAAAATGTTGTTGGTCAATCTAGTCTATACAGCCATTCGGCTACATCATGGACTCTATATATCACTCCGTATTGAGATAATTTTATTCGTGACTTTTGATACAAAATAATTTAGCTTGAATGCTTCCTACACTGTGACTTGAAAATACAAGAATTAATTTAAAACTACACTGTCCGCATCTTACGACCTGCAATCCATCACCGTACACGTTATATATTACTTTTCAGCTTTAGAATGGAAAAAATGGATATTGTTTACACTCAGCTGTTATATTTGTAAACATCGGGCTTTTTTATTTGCTATTTAATTTACTCATCATACTAATGGAGAACGAAAGCCACTTTATCCTTCAAAAACATTATATCGGTTCCACAGTTATCCAACTTGCTAGTCATGAAATTCCATTTTATTTAACTATTGTGCGAAACGACAGCATTATGATTCAAATGTTGTCTGAGGATTCCAAACTCTCCCCATAGTGAGGGAGCAGTAGACCGTCATATTATTCTTCGAAACGTTTTATTAACCGCTTTTATTAATGAGACCAGTCGACAGTACATCACTAAGTAAATAGGATCTATATTTAATTAATCACTACCATTGAATATACTAAAGGACCATAACCTTGCATCCGATAACAGTAAGAAACGTCGACAGTAACTAAAACTTAAGGACAAACTTCTAAGCAATGATATAAGAATTTCGTTTTGTCATACACGTCGAAATGTGTCAACTCGTTATAGACTACGGTTTACCAATGAACCTGTAAATGTGTTTTAGCACAAAAGAGTACCATGCAATACAGGAAACAATTACATGTCCTAACAGGAGATTAAGAGTTACCAAAACCAAAATAGGGAACCACTGGAACACGTGTCTCCTAAATAAAACCTGGTTCTCCCTTGCTATCACAGATAGGGAAGTTAGTATGCAAAAGATTAAATTTTTCATATGTGACATGTAGAGCAGAAGAGGACGGGGTGGTAGGCTTTCCACTGAATAATCGCACGATGACTGACATAAAGTAGTTCGACGTCACTTGCATTGATGACACTATCTAATCACAGGAATATGTCACCCTCCCACAGAAGACAACAAACAAAAACCCAGATACTCTAGGTGCCATCATTATTAAAAGTATTTTATTTATTCAGTGGTTCATAGCAGTGGGCTCCAAAACTCACTCCCTAAACCAAACACAAGATAGGTCACACATTGACCGCTGTCATGGGCACGCCACTAATGGAAAATAGAAGACACGCAAATATAAAAAAGAATGAGAAACTGTATATAATAAATAACCTCATATCGGCTGAGAGGCTTTTAATGGGAAAAGTCCATTTTCATGCCCTTAGAGGCAGCAGCAACTATAGTGCAATGAAATCTGACATGATATTTAGCATAACACAGCCGGAGAATGGGGTCAACTGTACTTGGTTTCTAACTACGAGATCTTTGAAGCTGGGCATATAGTTACTGAGAAGATTTACATTCAGCATATAGCACTTAGAGACCAGAGATGGTGAACGGGTGAGGAATTAATCGTGATGACGTAGCTCAGCCATGTAGGCACGGTCACCGCATGTAATTTCTTGATTTTAATATTGAATATATTGCTCTAACACAACCTAAGTGTGTCTTTCAGAAGTGTCAGACGTTATATTGCTGACTGTCATAATAGGACAAGTCGTTGTAGACTATAATGTGACTTCCACTTAAGATCTTATAAATTCGGTGGTCATACCATGACATATCTACAATTTTGAGATCAAGTATATAGTAACAAAGATAAATGTACCAATACCCAATCGGACCATAAGTCTTAACTCCCTATCTAATTGATTAGCCTTTCTGGCCATTAGAGGACCTTTTCAACATGACACCTGACCCGAGAAACGGACGAGACTATAGA